AAAAAAAAAAAAAATGATAAAAATTATCATTACATTAATGAGTATTATGTCAAATAAAATTTTATTGCTAATAAGTATCCTTTTATTTTCCCCTTTATATTTCATCAAGATCTAAATATTTATAAAGGTGATAAATTAGGTCATCAATTATAATGCTTCCATAGTTGAATTATAACATTTAACTTTTTTTAATAAGCAAAGTGAGTTCAAAATATTTTTTTATATATTTATAAAGTTATTATCTAAACATTTAAAATGGACAGGCATGTGCACGCATTTTCAAGCGAAATAAAAATTGATCATTTTAGATATTTATATATATATATCATGAAATTTTATTATTTCATGTTGGAACATGTATTAGAGAGAGAGAGAGAGTTTAACACAAACATATGTGATGATGTTTGGGGATCCTTTGAGCCTCATAACTCTCTTGAATATGAAACCAAATCTTTAATGATGTCAGAATTATGCGATCTTGGGTTTATAGGATTTATCTCATCTATACATTCAATTTGATTGTAAGAATGTCAAATTTGAAAATCATTTATTCATACAATGAATGCTTTAAAGTTTTCAATTGCGTTTCAACTGCTCAATCTAGGCCCATTTAACTTAGTTTGGGTCACTTTTGATAACAATGGATTTATCTCGTTGAAACATTCAATTTAATTATAAATTTATTGAAATTGGATTTTGGATGATCTTGAATTTAATTTTAAAAGTTTTTAATAAATATATCTCGAGATTTGTGCAAGATTAAGATCATTTTTAATGACATATCAAATATAAATTTATATAACTAACATTTAATTTTTATATTTATTTATATAATATCTAAAATATTAAATCACATAAAAATATATTTAAAATTTTTAAAGTAAAATGTATTTTTATGAATATACTTAAATGCAATTAAAATATTAGATAAATAAATATAAAGATTTAAATGGTGTAGATGTAAAATCACTGTATTTTATTTTTCTCGTTCACTTTCTCCATCAACAAACGCGGGACAGGTCGACGGCATCATTGAGTCGTTAACGAATCTTCGCTGTTCGAAAAGCAACAGCGGGCCCAAATCTCGCAAATCTGCGATGGCGAAGGCCCCGACCCCGATCTGAGTTCTCCCATCGGCCGCGCTATATAAGAGGTCCTCCTCCTCCTCAATTCCTTTGTCTACCCGCGGCTTTCCATCTTCCTGTTTTCCTTCGATAAGGAGAAGATCCGCTAGCCTGTCCGCATTCCCTTAGAAAAGGTTGGCTCTCATTTCTTTTGATTGGAGTTAGGTGAGCAATGCTGGTGCATTTATTCGCTTAAGAACTTTATCTAGGCTTGGATTAATGGAAAGTGATTGAACTGATATGGAATTTATTTGTCGATTTGGGGATTGCTTATAAATCTGCCATGTTTTGATTTGGAATTATCGTGAATTTCTTTTATTTCGTTTCTGCGCATTTACACGTTTTCGATGAAAAGCCGCTTTGTTTCATGTTTTGAGTTTGGAGTTTGGAGATCTAGTATGGTTTTTCTCTTTTCAGGTAGAGTTTGAATGGTAGATTATGTGTGCGGAAGCTTGCTGTTGTCGTGTGTAATTGTTAGATCCAAGGTCCAAATGGATCAAAATGATTTTTTTTTTCTTAATGGCCTTGTATGATTTATAACAATGTAGGCCTGATAGAACCAAAGTTCGGTTGTTTGATGACCTTCCCTTGTTTCCTAGAAATTTTTGTGTTTCATTTCGTTTCATGTATATTTCTTCTTATATTATACTCTTGTCTACTATATATATAGAAATTATTGCTGAAAACAGCTAAGGATGTAGTGAAGAGCCCAAAAACATGAGATTATTGTTAACAAGTGGTTAGTGTTAAGTTTGGAACTTAATTTTTGCCCAACAAAATAATTTGCTACGTAGATTTAGTCATTGATCCTAATGAAAATTTTATTGTATTTTGGCTGTGTTCCTTTGTTTTTTAATGAGAAATTAGATTGTAAGTTTCACTATTAAAATTATAGTGAACTATGTAGCTTTGGGAATAGGATATAACTAACAAATGAGTAAATCTACATAAAATTCTATATGTTTTAATACATTGAATTTCTTTTTTGTTCCTGTTCTTTTTAGCTCTTGATGTTTGAATTGTTTTTCCCCTATTTCTCAACAATTAGTTAATTCAGATTGCTTCTCCCTATTTAGAATCATAGTTCTGACTTTGCAATCATATTTTCTAGAAGAAATTGAAAAATGGCTGATGGTGAGGAGATCCAACCTCTCGTTTGTGACAATGGAACTGGAATGGTGAAGGTTAGCTTTGATGCTCTGAAATCAAACTGGACTTTATTGTCTCTCACTTTTTTTATATGAAGACATCTATATCCCAGTGATAAACAAATAAACATAACATACTATATTTGTTTCTCTTTTCATCATATAGGCTGGATTTGCTGGTGATGATGCTCCTAGAGCTGTGTTTCCTAGCATTGTTGGCCGACCTCGCCACACCGGCGTCATGGTTGGTATGGGCCAAAAAGATGCCTATGTAGGTGATGAGGCTCAGTCCAAAAGAGGTATACTCACGCTTAAGTACCCGATTGAGCACGGTATTGTTAGTAACTGGGATGACATGGAGAAGATCTGGCATCACACTTTCTATAATGAGCTCCGTGTTGCTCCTGAGGAACACCCTATGCTTCTTACTGAAGCCCCTCTGAACCCCAAGGCCAACAGAGAGAAAATGACCCAAATTATGTTTGAAACCTTTAATGTTCCCGCCATGTATGTTGCAATTCAGGCTGTTCTCTCCCTTTATGCCAGTGGTCGCACTACCGGTTCGTATCTATCTCTGTAACCCAATTCTTATCAAACTTTTTCGAACTTATTGCACCGAGTCACTAACCATTTTCATATCGACAGGTATTGTGCTTGATTCTGGTGATGGTGTGAGCCACACAGTTCCAATTTATGAAGGATATGCCCTTCCACATGCCATCCTCAGGTTAGATCTTGCCGGTCGGGATCTCACTGATGCTTTAATGAAGATTCTTACAGAGAGAGGGTATTCCTTCACCACAACTGCAGAGCGAGAAATTGTTAGAGATGTGAAGGAGAAGCTTGCTTATATTGCCCTTGATTATGAGCAGGAGCTGGAAACAGCCAAGACCAGCTCTGCTGTGGAGAAGCAGTATGAGTTGCCTGATGGTCAGGTGATCACAATCGGCGCCGAGAGATTCCGCTGCCCCGAAGTTCTCTTCCAGCCATCGATGATTGGCATGGAAGCTGCCGGCATTCATGAGACCACATACAACTCAATCATGAAATGTGATGTGGATATCAGGAAGGATTTGTATGGCAATATTGTTCTTAGTGGTGGCTCAACTATGTTTCCTGGAATTGCAGATCGTATGAGCAAAGAAATCACAGCCCTTGCACCCAGCAGCATGAAGATTAAGGTTGTTGCACCACCTGAACGAAAATACAGTGTTTGGATTGGTGGCTCCATTCTTGCTTCGCTCAGCACCTTCCAACAGGTAAATGAAGTTCTATTAGTAGTATATAATATCTTGTTTTTTACCTATAAAGTTACTATATTTGACTAAAATTTTCATAAATTTACAGATGTGGATTTCTAAGGGAGAGTATGATGAATCAGGCCCCTCAATAGTCCACCGAAAATGCTTCTAAGTTCCCATTCTTGGCTATATATCTTCAGAATCTTCAGGTGTTCTTTGTCTTTTATTTCTTGCTGTTATGTGAGCTCCATTTGTTTGAGGTTGTGGAACTATCTACGGATATGCTAAATTTTCTTCTAAAATGTATCTGTACTTCAGTATTTCGTATTACAAGATTTCTCCTTAAGCTGTTCTTATTTGCTGCCATAGGCCACTTTTTATTATTCCTGTTATGTAGAGAGAAGTGTAAGACAGTGTGATGGAGAAATTAACTATTTCTATTCCATCATCTTCATTTTCTTCTCCCTCTCTTTTATCTCCATTTTGTTACTCAGTAAGTAACATCTATCTATTATTTTTTCGCCATAATGTACATGTAGAGGTACTATCAAAAGCTTGTTTGAGATGAAAAATTATAATTTTTTTGTATCATGTATGACCTATAAGGTCATGAACACCCGATCTCGAGCGAATCCAAGTTCGCCACATCTTAAAATTGGCCCAAATAGATTTGATTCAATTAGAATCACCGCCTAACATACATGTAAATTGGTTCTATAACAACAACATCAAATCCTTATCCCACTACATGGGGTCAGCTACATGAATAATTTTTCTTCATCATGGGCGGACCCACCTTAACGCCAGGCCACCCCCCACTAGCTTATATAAATTATTTTCTTTTTTTCTATTTCTTTTATTTTTTTTCTGAAATAAATTTGAGTAATCATGTTGTTGTAGGCGTCATTCTAATTTTTTTAAATTATTTGGATTGTACTACTTTTTATTTTTTATTAAAATTTGTCTCGTTAAGTACTTTTAAAATTTTTTTATTTATTTTGTGTCAATTTTATAAAAAAATATATAATTAATTTCTTTTATTTAAATAATAATTTTTATAAAAATTATACAGTTTCTTTGTTAAGCATGGAATAATTTTTATTGCTTGTTTTTAATTCCTGGATCATAATAAAAAAAATTCACAAAATAAAACCTCAAACATCATCTTACAATTGCCTTTTCTTTATGTAGTAGTTAATAAATTAAAAGCTTCATTTGGGACTGTTTTTTGACTGCATCCTAAAACATTTTTTTAGTATAAAATTAAAATTTTGTTCTTTTTAAGGCTATTTGAAGAAACAGTAAGAAAATTGTTCTAAAAGAAGCCTAAGGATTTATTTGGAATGGCTTTCTTTCCACTTATTAAAGCAATTTCTTAGTTATTTTTTTTTAAAATTTAAAATTTTTGCACTAAAAGTTGCTTCATAAAACAATAAGAAAACTCTCACAAAGTAAGCCTAACGTTTCATTTGGGATGGCTTTCTTACTGCTTTTTAAATTAGCTTTCTAGTACAAAAATTTAATTACAAGAAGTAAGAAAGCCTTCCCAAACGAACCCTTATAATTTATTTCGGACGCCTACCATTCTTTATAAAGATGATCGTAAATTTGTTGAAAAGAAAATTATTTTCTTAAAAATTATTGTAAAAAATAAGTTCTTATTACCAAATTTTATTGAAAGTAGTAAAAAAAAAAAAAATCAATTATATATTATTTGGAAATTGAAATAAAGTCATGCGATTGACAACTCTCATTACATTAAAAAGGTATGTTTGCCATCATGAACTACATTAAGGACAGCGTTTCATGTCAGTTATGGGCAAGTTAAAGGCATCATTAGATCATAGACGCTCAAATAATTAATTATTAGAAGTGAGTTTGAACGGTCCAGATCAAGCTGAGTTTTTGAGCTAATCATATGCAACGGACTAAACAAATTAAGTAGATTTTGGACTAATAATAATCACGTAATTTTCTAAAATGAGACATATTTGCATATATAATTACTTCATTTTCATTGATGAAAAGTCTTTTAAATAATAGTTAGTCACATCATTTAGATAAATTAAGAGATAAATAATATGATGGTTATCTTGATTTAATGGGCCATATTTGTGAAAATGCTTTATTTTTAGTTTCATTGCACTACATATATGTGACACTCAATAATGGATTTGTAAAAATTTGCTTATAGTTTTTTAATTGCTAATTAAAATACATTTATTCATATTTTGTAGTAAATACATTATCTAATAATTAAATATTTGTTTCCTAAAAGGAGACTATGTGTTAATTGGTAAATTTTTCTGTACGCTCTCTAGTAGGAACTTTTATTTGGTCCGATAAATGGACGTAGCTGTAGGTTCGGCAGTCAGTACAATCGCGCCACGCGTTCTCACTATTTACCGCGCGCCCCGACAACCCGACCCGGAACGGACCCATGATGGCTCAGCATTTCTCGATTTTGCTAGGTATTGCTCGGTATTACTCGGTATTGCTAGGTATTGGTCGATTTTGCTTGATAATAACCAATACCGAGTTGTACCGAGTTTTTCTAAAAAACTCGGTACAACTCTGTATTACTCGATATTGGTCTTCACAGAGCGGTATTTCTCGTTATTGCCATGCAATACCTAGCAATACCGAGCAAACACTGAGTAATACATCGCAATACGCGAACATAGCATTCTCGGGTTCCGGTATGGGTCAAGTCGTCGGGCCGCACGGTAGAGAGCAAAAGCACGTGGCGACATGTTATTGGCGGCTGAACGTAGCTCTACGTCCGATCAGAGGACATAATAATTGTTCCTCTAGTAGAGTTGAGCAAAAAATTATGTGTTGCGTGCTAAAAAATTTGAGTCCATAGAGTTTATGCTTTACATCTTAGGATGTACAAACATTCAACACGAACAATTGCAATTTAGTGGCTCATTAGTGTATTAATTAGGGATCTGATTATTACATAACATTGAAAATTTGATTAATGCATTGATTAGGAAAGCATTGATTGACTTTTTACTTTTATTTGCGTTTCAAATCTATAAATAAGGGCCGCCTAAGTGGTGCTGGATGTAAAAGAGCTGAAATAGCCAATTGTAACTTATTTTTCTTCACATTATAGTGAAATTAGCATCTCCCCATGCACGTAGGCATATATGCCGAACCACGTAAATCGTCATGCTCTTTATGTTGATTGGGCTTTGATTCTGATTTTGTTTATGCTATTTGCACAACTATAATTAATATTTATTTTGCAACACTTGCTTCCCTTTTGATTCTTTCACCTTTGTGTCTTCCACTTTAAGCAAACTTTAGATGTGACAAACATTTACAATTTACCTTCCCTTTAAAGAAAAGAAAGGGGAGAAGAAATTTTTTGTACAAAAAAATTGCTTTAGAAAATAATAGAAATGCTCTTCTAAATGAAATATTAGTAGGACACAATAGAGAAAGATCCATAATAACTAGAAGAAAGTTTCTTATTATTTTATTCAAAGTTTATAGACATGCGAAAAATATTTTTAAGATAATATAAAATTAGAGATAAAGATCAAAATGATACTCTAATTTTTTATGAAAAATCAAAATTATTTTATTTCAATCTTTTGACTTTTTTAAATAGGGACCTAAAAGAGTTAATGAACCAAATGGATATTTTCATATTATCAGAGATTATTTTGACATTTTAAAAAAAATAGAGGACCAAAAAACCCTTCTCTTGCTAAAATTATGTTAAATGAAAATACAATTTTTTCTATTTAAAAAATAAATAAATACCCTAAGTGGCAAAGTTAACTAACTAGCTTAACAAGTAATAAAATTATTTAATTAAATAAAAGCCCAATGGCCAATATGCCAGTTCGTGGAGCCCTTGTGGTCCTTCAAGATCGGACCGCGATCTTAACGAGGAGGAGAGCCCGAAATCCTAAGGCCTAAGCCCGTCTTGCTCAATTATTTCCACAACTGATTCCACTTCTCATTTGACCAACCGCTCGATCTATAAATTGCCCAGTTTCCTCGCATTTATGCCCTGCTTTTCGTCTGCTCCGACGACGGACTCGCTTCTAGGTCTTGAGGGCTTAAGGTCTACCTAGAAGAGGAGGAAGGCGGCTTTGAATCGATCCTCGTCAGATTCTTCTGTTTAGGTAAGGGTTTCTCTAATCTAGATCTGTGATTTTTGTTTATATCTAGATTTATTTTACTGAATTCGGTGGGCCGTTTGGTAGATCTTGGTGTTTGTGTTCTTTTGAATGAGTTGTTATGAATTTCATAGATATTTGGATGATCGGGAAGTATGGATTTGTTTTTTAGCGGATGAGCTTGATTTCCAATGTAGATCTATAACTTTGCTTTTAGGAAAAGAGATGCATGATTTGATTTTGCCCTTGGTATAAGGCGACTTACTTTATTTTGAAAGATCAGATTTATTGCGAGGGTTTTGGCTTGTTTTAGGAGATTTATTTTTTTCAAGGGTGGATCTGGAGCTACCACTATCTCCTGTTTGAATCGCGTATGTAGCATGATATCTTGCGACTTCCCTGGGAAAAACTTCAAGCGTTTATCTAACCTATATTTTGTTGGACGTTTAGTTGCACTAGTTTGTCGTCTTCATTTCCTTTTTTTTTCTTTTTGAAATTTGATAGATGCTATAAACTACTGTGCCTATTTATCGCCAGATTTGTTGATTTTACACAGATTGTTAACATTTACTTCATCAGGAAACGACTGATAAAAGTGCTTTTATACTTCTATGAGGAGGTTCCATGTTTATCGCCAGATTTGCTGATTTTACACAGATTATTATTATTTAATTCATCAGGAAACGACTCATAAAAGTGCTTATATACTTCTATGAGGAGATCCCATGTTTATCGTCAGATTTGCTGATTTTACACAGATTATTAACATTTAATTCATCAGTAAACGACTGATAAAAGTGCTTATATATACTTCTATGAGGAGGTCCCATGCACGTTATAAAAGACTAATGGATTCTCTGGTTATTTTCTGGAACCCAGTTGTTGTTGTTGTATGGATTAGTCTGATCTGTTGTGAAACACTGGATCTTTATCAAATTTTGTTGGATAGTTTCATGCAGGTGCCTCTGTAGTTCTCCTGCATCAAGTCATGCTTTGAATTTACCTTTGCAAACATCTGTCAACATGGTTTCAGATACCAAACTCATCATTGACATGATTTTTTCTTATAGTGTAGAGTAAGGGTTTCCTTTTAGTAACTTGCTAATTTGTATATTGTTGGAGATGAAATCCATGTCAGGCTGCCGATGTTCATACAATCAATTGCTGGTATGGATTTTAGCTTGTGTAGGTTGTAAATTGCACCTTGAAATGTTTAGGTTACTCTTCTTATGCAACTTAGATTCCAAATTACAAGTGTAGAACGGTGTAGTTAAGTATATATATGTTGGTATGTTGCTTTGAATTGCAATTGCGAGATAACTGCTTCCTCTGTAACTTTCTAATTCACATGGGTGTTCACAAAGCAGATCTGATGAGTATGATTTTGTTTTCTTTTTAAATGGATTCATGATTTCTTTCTCATATTATGTCAGTTATTCTGCAGGTTTGTAAAAGATGGCGGATGTTGATGATATTCAGCCCCTTGTTTGTGATAATGGAACTGGAATGGTTAAGGTAAGCTCCAACCTAAGTTGTAGCCTGGAAATAGCACCAATTGTGTCCGACTTTCCTTCTTTTTTTGTTTGTTAGGCTGGATTTGCTGGTGATGATGCGCCCAGGGCTGTGTTCCCAAGCATTGTTGGCCGACCTCGTCACACTGGTGTCATGGTTGGCATGGGCCAAAAGGATGCTTATGTGGGAGATGAAGCCCAGTCCAAAAGAGGTATCCTCACCTTGAAATATCCCATCGAACATGGAATTGTAAGCAACTGGGATGATATGGAAAAGATTTGGCATCACACCTTCTACAATGAACTCCGTGTTGCCCCTGAGGAGCACCCTGTACTGCTAACTGAAGCTCCTCTCAATCCCAAGGCAAACAGAGAAAAGATGACACAGATAATGTTCGAGACTTTCAATGTGCCTGCCATGTATGTTGCCATTCAAGCTGTTCTTTCCCTATATGCTAGTGGCCGCACAACTGGTTTGTATCTTCATTAGTTTTTCTGCTATTAAATTTTCATCTTCTTCAGATGTTCTCCCACTGAAACTTTTACTTTCTTCTAGGTATTGTGCTTGATTCCGGTGATGGTGTTAGCCATACAGTTCCTATTTATGAGGGTTATGCACTTCCGCATGCCATCCTTCGATTGGATCTTGCGGGCCGAGATCTCACAGACTCATTGATGAAGATCCTCACTGAGAGAGGATATTCTTTCACCACTACTGCAGAGCGTGAAATTGTCAGGGACATCAAGGAGAAGCTAGCCTATGTTGCCCTTGACTATGAGCAGGAGTTGGAAACCTCCAAGAGCAGCTCTTCCATAGAAAAGAGCTATGAACTCCCTGATGGTCAGGTTATTACTATTGGCGCTGAGAGATTTAGATGCCCAGAAGTTCTTTTCCAGCCTTCTCTCATTGGAATGGAAGCTGCTGGAATTCATGAGACAACTTACAACTCCATTATGAAATGCGACGTGGATATCAGAAAGGATTTGTATGGAAACATTGTTCTTAGTGGAGGCTCCACCATGTTCCCTGGCATTGCCGATCGCATGAGCAAAGAGATAACTGCACTTGCTCCTAGCAGCATGAAGATCAAGGTGGTCGCTCCACCAGAGAGGAAATACAGTGTCTGGATTGGAGGATCTATCCTCGCCTCCCTCAGTACTTTCCAGCAGGTTCATTCTCTAAACTTTTTATGAATTACCCCTTCTATATCTTTTTTGTTACTGAAGCTGCAGCACATATAACTTTTGCAGATGTGGATTTCCAAGGCCGAGTATGATGAGTCTGGCCCTGCTATTGTCCATAGGAAATGCTTTTGAGTCTCCATATTTGCTTCTGTCTCGTATGCGATTAGCTGTTTTTCTGGCTTGGTTTTCCCAGAGATTGTTGAATTTAAGTAAGGGGGGTTTGTTGGATTTACTTCTTAGATGGTTTTATAATTTTCAGATGGTCTTGTATGTTTGTGGCGCTGCTCATAATTTACAAGGCAGCAGAACTTCTGTTCCATATGTCTATCAGACATGCCAGTTTGATCCAGATGGCTGGTTCTTCCTGGTTCTATTTACGAACTTTTAAAACAGAGATAAATGAGTCGGTACCTTCTATTATATTGTTGGACCTTCTGATCTTATTGCAGGCTGCTTTGTCTTCCAGAGGAGAAATTATTAGGTTTGGCCACCGGACAAAGAGATTCATCCGAATTTCTCCCTGTCTACATTAAAAGCGCAGCTGCTATAGTACATGTAGTTTTTACTGTAGATAGAGAGAAATCCGGATGATTCTTTATGTCCGGTGTCCGGGCCTAATAATTTGCCCTTCCAGAGGGCGAAAATGAACGGGTTTTGAACTTGATATATATTTTATATGCACCTAACCAAAACTATCAAAAATTCCATGTTTCAGGCGATTTTGGTAGCCTGCTCTAAGGCAACTCTAGATTTTTTTTGTTTCTGCTAGCAACAGGGTTGATTAAGAGACTTTAGCTTGCACTCCTTTAAATTAGTTGTTTTTAAGCGACTAATGATCAATTTTTTGCTGCTCTGCTGATACTCCTCTGCAAGGTTATATGCTAAAATCTGCTTATTAATTCAGTTTAATAGCAGAAACTAACCCTTACAACTTTCTATGTTTTCTATATCAAATGATCATTTGAAAACAGCTAGCACTGGTGGTCTGGGTTTAATGCTAAATTAAGTGCTAATTGTTATCTATTTAGATCTACTTGAAGATAAGTTTTTTTTTAAAGCCATCCTCTTCAATTGAAGTTGATTTAGCTGAAGATTTAAATACATAACTTACATGTTTTTTAATCTATTTTATTTCCCTGATGAAGTTTACTGCATTAATGCCCAATGAAGTTCGTTTATATGATATACAATATGATTAAACTGCTGATTAGCCAAGCTAGATAACTAGAGCTTACTGCTGGTTGTCTGTTGCTTCATTGGCGAGCTTACAGATTTTCTTGTTTGCTGAAATGCTCAAATGCTTTTGAGTAGAAGTTGCATTTTTTGATGGGAGAGAAATTTAAGGAAGATAAATTTTAAAGTCAATAAATATCATATGTAGATCCTCCTTATTCTCTCTATGCTCTTCCATCAAACATCTCAATAAATGTATAACTTTTATAATAGACCTTCCCAGCATGAATTCGAATTGATTTTGAGAAACATTAGTATCTCATCTTAACCTATGATTTATAACTCTCTCATAGTTATAAAGTCTTATTTCACCTTTATTCTTAAAAATAAGAATCAAAACCCTCATTCTCTACTCGTTTAATATCTTTTTAGTGTTCAAAATATTATTAAACAGTTTGGTAAGCCAAAAAATTCTTTATTCCTAAGCATTTTCACTCCTCTATTTGAATATTATCAGGTTCAACAATTTTTCTATACTATGTTTTCTTTAAAGTCTCTCTAACTTATATTTTATTAATATGTTGATAAAAATACTAATATTTATTTTCATTTAGTGTGTTAAGGTTATAAAAGTTAATCGTATTCTTGAAATCTTAATTGAAATGCTTAGCAAAATATCTCATCCATCTTTATTGAATATTCTCTTCTAATAAAAGAACTGTCGTTGTCAGATTTCAAGTTTTGAATGAGAAAAATGATAGGTTTTGTTAGATAATAGACCATTAATATAACACTTCCTTGAATAATCATGATAAGAAATGAGAAATGCACGAAACATAAAAAATAAATGGCTATAAGATTATCGGTATAGGCGCTCACAAAACTAGACTCAGTGCATCCCCAAACGAGTCATCATGACTTTCAAAAAGGAAGGAGTGTGCATGGACGGTTGCCGTCTAAATCATTTGCTGTGCTTCTATTCCTATTAGAAAACCACAAATAACGAAATTTCTTCTTGTTATAGCCTTCACTCGAATTTGAATTTGAATTTGAATTTGAACAAGAATTTGAGGACTAGCCTATGATCCATAAAATTTCTTCTCCCAAGAAAGGTGAATCTAGAAAGCTGAATCTAAAGCCAAGGTGAACTTCTTTATTGATCTTGTTGGCCTAAGACTTTGTCGAGTGTCAAGATTTGATTCTTTCAATCTATGTTTGGTGTTTGTTTTGATGCATGATAATCTTATTTTTTTGCAGGTGGCTTGGATTCGATTGGGGTGGATGTGGCTTTCTATAAAAATAATTATAAAAATATTATGATAAAAAATAATTATTGTTATGTGCTAGAATATTTGATGCCGTAGAAAAATATAAAATTTAGCATCTTTGCTTTGCACGAAATCCAACATGCATATAGATAAAAGAGGGGTATTTTTTCATAAGAGATACAAGAGTTTTTATGTGAAAATCCCTGAAAAGGAGAAAAAACAACGGGCCATTGTCCAGTTTAAATGAATCCTATTTGCATTTGATTACAAATTACGCCCTTTATTGGAAGAAGGCCTTTGCTCAATATAAAAAATATACATCATATAGACTGCATTACACGGTGGGAGTTGGAAGAATTAGTATTGACATGTTCATTTGGTTGGCAGGATCATAATCGGCAGACAACAGATGTCAGAAAGATCGTAGTCAAGTGACGATGGTTGGAATGATCGTAGTCGGTGGGTGACAGAGGTTATAAAGACCGTAGTCAGGTGAAGGTGGTCAGAAAGATCGTAATTGGGCGACATGGGTCAGAAGGACTATAGTCGGCGGAAGGACTGTAGTCAGCGGGCGAAGTTGTTCAAAAAATCGTAGTCGGGCAAAAGTAGTCGGAAGAATCATAATTGGGCGATATGTATGACTCATCTGAAATAAATTCAATATGATGTTGGATATTGCGGAGTGGGGGAAACCACGCCGACAATTTAGGAGGAGAAACATCAGGAAAAGTTTAAGTAATTGTTGTATGTCATTTTTTTTAGACAAGGTATGTATTAGGCTCATGTAGATAGGTGGCCACTAAGGCTAGTATGGAATAATTACTTTGCTTCAACTATTAGATCAGTTGTCATGTATGAAACCACCATCAAACTGCCATGGCTTGCCTAAAATAAGGTGGCACACATCCATGTATAAAACTTCATATAAATAGTGCTTTTTAATAGTAAATGTTACTCGACACATGTCCAAAATAAAAAATTCCAAACCCTTTTTAACCCAATTGATTTTAAAAGGATTCAAGTTCTTAGTGGTCTTGAGTTGAAAAGCTTGAAATGCTGCACTTAAAATAATATTTTTCGTACATCTATTATCTATTGTGAGGCACAAACCTTTCCATTTATGGTACATCGTGTTCGAAACAGGGAGTGACATTGAGTAACAACAATAGTTCTAGCAGCTAATAAGAGTTTCTTTGGAACACACAGGATGGGTTCACCTCCATCACCTTGCAATTCCTCTACTACCTCATCGGCTTTAGGTTCAACATTGTCAAGTCCTTCTTGAACATCATCCACGAGCTGCAATTGTTGGCGATTAGGACATTCGTTGGATTTATGGTCATATTGGAAATGATGGAGGCACTTCAAGGTTGTGGACCTAGCTAGGGGTGTCAATTTCGGGTCACGGGTCGGGTTCGGGTCGAACCTGAACTGACCCGGGTGCAAAACGGGTCGACCCTAACCCGACCCGGGTAGAGAACTGGACTAGAAGTATTAGTTTGTGGTTTGGAAGGGATAGAGACCTATTTTTTGTGCTCAATATTTCCATCATAAGACTATCGCTTTACCGAATAACTGTGAGAATGTCTTTGAGGTTGAACTTCAGCTTTTAAAGAAAAATTAATGGCTTGCGATAATGACCAAACCGAATTAAGTTCCAATTTATCATAAATGCTGTCCTTCAAGCCCCTAATGTAACATGCCACCAATTGATTTTTTGTTTTAGTTAAATTGTTTCGAGCACTAAGGTGGTAAAACTCTTCGGTGTAGTCCCTAATAGATTTATACCTTGCTTACAGTTTTGATATTGGAGGTAATAAAGATTAAACAATATATTGAGAGGGACAAATTACATAAATAATCATATAATAATTACAAAAATTTTATAGGGGCCCCTCGGGATCAAAGGGTTTCTGCCCATACATTCCTCATTTTAGTCGAGAAATGAAAGATAGCCGCGATAAGTTCATCAAGTTGCTTTGAAGGTATTAGGCTGCCCATAAAGCTTTCAAACTCCGATCTTTGTCGGGCCTAGCTTGCTAGCTTCCTTATGCCATCTCGCAGGATAGCTTGTTCTGATACCAAAACTGATGCAGGAGCTCATAGATGAGAAGAAGCTACAATGGAAAATCGAATTATATATATATCCTCAAAAAATTATCTTGATTGGGCACAAATCTCGATGATAAATCGAGTCGGAAACTTCAAAAATTAAATCTGATATCACATGAACTCGATTTCATCGAACTTACAGTCAAACTGAGCGTCTCGGAAATACGAACTCAACGACACCAAATTCAACTCAATCTAAGCCAAAATGAGTCCAAATCAAGCATCCGAAGCGCTGTTGGAAAGTTCAAATCATAATTCCAGTTACCAAACAGTTTCCAAATATGACATTCATATAGTCGAATCAAGCGGCTCGACGAGACAAATCCAATGAGCCCAAGATCGCCGAATTCCGAGATCATTAAGACCTTCAAATGTCTAACGAACGGTGCACAATCAAAGGATTTAATATCGATTGTCCATTCGACCACTCCATATTTACCCCTGATCTCACACCTATTTACAAGCTATGCCACTCCGGAATATCTATATATAGACCCCTCATTTCTCATGAGAGGCGACCCAAGCAAGAAGAAGAGAAAAAAGAAGAGAAGAAGGATAGGAGGGAATAACTCCTCGACCACCGCCGGAGTTTTGCCCGACGCCCGAGTGATGCCGGAGTTCTATCCGACGCTCATGTGACACTAGAGTTCTACAATCAATTGGCTAAAAACTCTTGTAATAAAGATTAAACAATATATTGAGTGGGACAAATTACCTAAATAATCATATAATAAATAAAAAAATTTTATAGGGGCCTCAGGATCAAAGGGGTTCTGCCCATATATTCCTCATTTTAGTCGAGAAATGAAAGATAGCCGCAGTAAGTTCATCAAGTTGCTTTGAAGGTATTAGGCTGCCCATAAATCTTTCAAACTCCGATCTTCGTCAGGCCTAGCTTGCTCGCTTCCTTATATATATATATATAATCTTGATCGGGCACGAATCTCGAGGCAAAATCGAGCATGGAACTTTAAAAATTAAATTCGGGATCACCTGAATTTCGATTTCAGCTAACTTATAGTCAAACTGAGCGTCTCGGAAAATACGAACTCAACGACACCAAATTCAACTCAATCTGAGCCAAAATGAGTCCAAATCAAACATCCGAAGCGCTGTTGGAAAGTTCAAATCATAATTCGAGTTACCAAACAGTTTTCAAATATGACATTCTTATAATCCAATCGAGCGGCTCGACGAGACAAATCCAACGAGCCCAAGATCGCCGAATTCCGAGATCATTAAGACCTTCAAATGTCTTACGAACGATGCACGATCAAAGGATTTTATATCGACCGTCCATTCAACCACTCCATATTTACCCCTGATCTCACACCGAATTCCGAGTGACGCCGGAGTTCTGTCCGATGCTCATGTGACACTAGAGTTCTACCAAATGTCGGAATTCTTCCCAACTTTTGAACGATGCCAGAATTCTTCCTGACCTCTGAAGGACGCAAAACTCTGCCCAATCTCCAAGTGAAGCCGGAACTCTGCTCGACGTTGTAACTGATTTTCAATCCTAATGAGATTCATTGTAATATGATCATCCTCAAATTTTAAGGACAAGCCAGCCTCTTGTATTTCAAACAAACACTAGTGGAACTCTTTCAAATGGGCGTGATCCCGTGGTTTTTTCCCTTCCAGGGTTTTCCACGTTAAAATCCTAATGTTGCTATTTCTTCTATGTTTGTGTGCTAGATATTCGTACAACGCTGAGACAATTTTTTTTTTTTAACTCTATCACCGCGTATATTCTAGTCCGCAACAATAATTTTAATTACTAGTTAATAACAACAGCTAAATAAAGTGGTCAAAGAATAAAAGGATTCTTCTACTATGGCTAACAGAAAAGGAAAACATGCATAAATATGAGTAGTGGAGAAAGAACTAGTGGTAAAATGCTCTACAGAGTCCATGTAGCTCAGGTATCATGTGGTATAATGCTCTGCAGGGTCCATGTAACAATATGGATCTGTTATGGGATAGAGAATCCATCACCGAGGCGCTATGAGTCCAATAACACAGTGCTGTGGGCCGACTGAGTTAGTGGATATTGAACCAGTTGAGATTCTAAAAAGGAAGTTTTAATTTTTTTGTGTTTTTATTGAATAAAAATTAAATGATGGTCATGTAAACTAAAACCAATAAGAATATTTCATCTATACATATGAAATATGCCAATTTTCATCTACATTTCTATTTCATTCTATGCATTATATAATTGTAGAAAATATAAGAGTTTTGTGTTGTGAAGTAAAACACGTAATGAAATAAATAATAAAAGAAAATAACGAAAATGAACACCAGAATTTAACATGAAATAATTCAAAATCAGATAAAAATCATGGAGCAACGCCATGCAAGAAATTCATTATAAAAATAGGAAAAAGTTGTACATATCTTTTTCTCTTTCACTCTCACATTATCTCACTTCACTTCAGTCTCAGTTCTTTAAACAAAAATGGACAAAGAGATTGCACTTAAAAGCCACCCTTCAATTTAAGCATGAAAAATAAGAAAAAAATTGACCAGCAGTGTAAGGGTTTGGAGTGCTTCACTCTGTCTTTGAGCCACTCTGCAGTGCTACAACAGTTTGTTTTTTGCCTCTAACCAAAGATTGCAACGTTGTAGCACTTTGAGTATACAACACGTTCATGCTGTATGAGAAAAAAAATTTCCGGGGCAAAACCATCGAGAACCCAAACAGAAGGAGGCCCCCTACAATGCTTAGAGATCTCGATTGACGAAGTTGAGTTCTACACCAACAGTACAATACGATTGATCGATACAATCTGATTCTACACAAAACTAACATTCAAATATATCAATAATAGAAAATATAATGTATGAGAAAAAAAATTTCCGGGGCAAAACCATCGAGAACCCAAACAGAAGGAGGCCCCCTACAATGCTTAGAGATCTCGATTGACGAAGTTGAGTTCTACACCAACAGTACAATACGATTGATCGATACAATCTGATTCTACACAAAACTAACATTCAAATATATCAATAATAGAAAATATAATTGTTGCGTCCTGGAATATTCGCGGCGGTAGAGAAATATATGGTTTAACGTCTTAGCGTTGTACGAAGATCCAGCACACAATCAGATAAGTGAGAGGGTGTAGCGTTCATAAGAGACACCAAAGTTTTTACGTGGAAAACCCCTGAAAAAGGGGGAAAAACCACGGGGCCTGGCCCAGTTTGAATGAATCCACTAGTATTTGTAGTCGATTACAAATGAGGCCCTTCCTTGGGAGAAGGCCTTGGATTGATGTAGCAAATGTACATCACATAGATTGCATTACATGGTAAGAGTTACATATACAGGTTTGTTTGGCCTGAAAGACCGTGGTCGGCAGGAGACCGGAGTCGGCAAGAGACCTGGGTCAGAAAGACCGTTGTCTGTTGATGGAGGTCGGAAGGACCATAGTAGGCGACAAATGCCTGAAGAACTGTAGTCGGCAGGAGACCGTAGTCGGCAGGAGACCGTAGTCGGCCGGAGACCGTAGTCGGCAGGAGACCGTAGTCGGCCGGAGACCATAGTCGGCCGGAGACCGTAGTCGGCAGGAGACCGTAGTCGGCCGGAGACCGTAGTCCGCAGGAGACCGTAGTCGGCAGGAGACCGTAGTCGGCCGGAGACCATAGTCGGCAGGAGACCGTAGTCGGCAGGAGACCGTAGTCGGCCGGAGACCGTAGTCGGCAGGAGACCGCTGTCTGGTGATGGAGGTCGGACAGACCGTATTAGGCGACAGTGGTCAGAAAGACCGTAGGCGGTAGGAGATAAGGAGTCAGGTGTTAGTCCCAGTGTCACTTGGAAGATCGGATGTTGATGGTCTGGCCTTGAGTAGGAAGTCGGGTCTTAAGCAGGACGTAAGGTCTTCAGCAGGACGTCGGGTCTTCAGCAGGACGTCGGGACTTAACGTCGGGCCTTGAACAAGACGTCGGGTCTTTGGCAAGATGTAGGGACTGAGTGTCGGGCCTTGAACAAGACGTCGGGTCTTTGGCAAGATGTAGGGACTGAGTGTCGGGCCTTGAACAAGACGTCGGGTCTTTGGCAAGATGTAGGGACTGAGTGTCGGGCCTTGAACAAGACGTCGGGTCTTTGGCAAGATGTAGGGACTGAGTGTCAGGCCTTGAACAAGACGTCGGGTCTTTGGCAAGATGTAGGGACTGAGTGTCGGGCCTTGAACAAGACGTCGGGTCTTTGGCAGGACGTCGGGGATGAACGTCGGGCCTTAAGGTGGTGGTCCAGCGAGGTTTTGTGGTGGTCCGGCGAGGTTCCTGCGGTGGTCCGACGAGATTCCTGCGGTGGTCCGGCGGTGGTCCGGCGAGGTTCCTGCGGTGGTCCGGCGAGGTTCTGCGGTGGTCCGGCGGTGGTCCGGCGGCTGTCGAGGAGGAACTCCTTCCTTCTCTTCTCCTCTTCTCTCTCTTGCTTGGATCC